AAACAAATAAAAACGATTCAAAATCTACCTCGACGGCCGTCAGAGCAAGTGACTCAAATTGAGCAATCTGTATTTTAGATTCATCACAGTGTCATGTAGCGAGGTGGTGGTGGACCCCAAAAAAGCAGGCAGGAGGGAGGAGCAGGGTGTACTTGAAAGAGTGTATTGAAACTCAGAAAACTAAATCCAAAACAAACAAAGTCCAAAGTATCAAACAAAACACATAACCGAAGATAAAACATAACAATGACCAAAACCTGACTGAAACAAACATGACAGCAAACAGCAACAAACAAATATGACAGTAGCACAAAGCAACAATGACCCGACAATAATTGCTCGGGCTGGGAGTCCTTTTAAAGCCACTAATTACCTAATGACCAACAGGTGTGCAGCTGCAGGGGAAACCCTACAGTGCCACTTGTTGGTCCCAAACCGAATCATGACAATAAGTGCGTAACCGGCAAAACCAAAGGCCGGACAGGGCATTGTGGACATGGATGAGCAGACAATCCCCAAGGTCGGGGCTGGCCGTACCCAAATGTACGCCTCCCACGCTGCCCTGAATATACACCTGACGCACGTATGAGAACGAGGTAAGGCGACGCGCTTCCAAACCGGGGAGGTGCCAATTGCAGGTGCTAATGCCAGCAGGAAACACTCATTTTTCGACTTTTTCCTTGCCTAAATCAAACTTTTCATGGTGTCTGAACTTCATCGAGGAGAGAAAAACAGATTTTCTTTCTTGTTTCCAGTGTGAAGCCAGAATGCCCACTGTCTCAATGCATCATGGCACCCATGGCGGTGCTTAATCCTGGGCTTCCGGCCAATATGACCACTCAAGAGCTACCCTCGGTCTTGCCCTCCTTTTCTGCTGCCAAGGCCCTGCTGCAGTTCAACAAACCCCTGCAACCCTCCAACACTGTCTCCGTGGTGGTCTTCCATTCACGAGCTGATGGTAAAGCTCTGCATCAGGCTGACGTGGGCCAAGAAATATTCATGTGATATTTACGCCACAGCCGATGTTCATGTCGTGTCTCTTCTTGGTGGTTTGTCTTCCAGCTGAAAAGGCCTTGGCAGGCACGCTCAAAATCGAGAAATTCTCAATCTCCAAATGCTACCTGGTGAATTTTGTTTCTCATGGACATGCTCCTGAGCTTATGTCGTGTCTCAGCATGGCGTCACCGCATGGCTCTTGTGCTTTCCAGACGACAGACAAAGAGGCGCCAGGTCTGGTCCAAATGGAGACCTTGGCCTACCTGACTGGCTTCCCGCAGTCCTACACAGTATCAGAGATGCTCCGAGAAAAATTGTCGCCCACTGTAAAGAGCAGGATAACTGCGGTAAAGTTTGTTTCGGATGAGGGGTTGTTGTCTGACCAAGAACGTCACAGATGGGCTTGTCTGGCAATGTGTTCCTCAGTTTGAGTTGTACCCGGGCGCCGGCATCGCTCTGCTCTACCTTAAAACGCCACAGGACTTCATTTTTCTCCTGCAATTAGCGAAAAGTAGCAGACTGAAACTGGATGGGAAGAAGCTGGCCATCAGTCCTGTAAACTTGTTCTGGGATATGAGGGCCATCGCAGAGGTCATAGGCCACTACAACACCTGCAAATTGACATGATGTAACATTAGGACCTCTAACACTGTCGAAACTTTTTCCTTAGTTTTCACAGAAGCGGCCTGCCCCTCCCAAAAGAGAGACGAGGTACTCTCTCACAGCCAACCGCTTCGAGGAGAACGGTGCTCTCCTCTATTCCTTACGCTCCATGGAGAAACATGCGCCGTGGGTGCGACACGTCTACATCGTCACGAACGGGCAGATTCCCTCCTGGCTCAACCTGCAAAACCCTCGCGTTTCAATTGTCACACACAAGGTAGCAGTGCAGCCTCTCGCACTGAAACTCCCAACTTCTCGGGCAGGAAGCGTTTCTGCGATAGGATCTATTTCAGTGATTGTGCGTCTTGGAATGTCTTCTCTTGGCTGACAGGAATTATAGTCAAACCTCGGTTTTCGAACGTCTCTGTTCTCGACCAAATCAGTTTTCGACCAAAAATTTCTAGCTTTTTATGCCTCGGATTACGACTGAAGTTCAGTTCTCGACCAAACTGAGCGCACTTGAATGCGCCACTCGACTTCTCTCGACTTCCTTACACGAAGAAGTGACGCCTCCGTTGTGAGCAGACGGGTTCAATAAAGATTTTTTTTTAAAAAGAAAGAGCATCTATTGTGAGCAGACGTGTTCAAAGATTTAAAAAAGGAGCGTCCATTGTGAGCAGACGTGTTCAAAGATTTTTTAAAAAAGAGCGTCCATTGTGAGCAGACGTGTTCAAAGATTTTTTTAAAAAAGAGCGTCCATTGTGCGTCCATTGTGAGCAGACGGGTTCAATAAAGATTCTTAAAAAAGCAGACGTGTTTGTTGAGATCGACGCAAATTGGACTGTTATTTCTGCATGGCACCAAATAAAGCAAGTGGAAGTAGTAAAGCTGCTGAAAAAAAGATGAAAATAGTGCGCAAAACGATTGAATTTGACAGTGAAATATGAATCAGGTGTGCATGTGTCTGTGTTGGCTAAGGAGTTCGGCATGCCGAAATCAGCAGCATCCTAAAAAAGAAAGACCATCATAAAGTCAGTGATGTGGCTAAAGGATCTCGTGTGTTTCGTGAACAAAAGGCCACAAATGTTAGAGGAAGTGGAGAAACGTTTGCTTATTTTCATAAATGAGAAACAGCTAGCAGGGCACAGTCTTAGCCAAGATACGATTTGTGGCAAAACAAGACAATTGTATGGAGATTTAATGAAAAAAGGATCTTAGCATTGCTCCTGAAGAGTTTGATTTTAAAGCAAGCAGAGGATGGTTCGAAAAGTTGAGGAAAAGAAGTGATTCGTCATGGGGAGGCAGCCAGTTCAGACAAGGAAGCTGCCGAAAAGTTTAAAGTTGAGTTTGAAAATCTCATCAACGCAGAGGAATGTCTTACCCAGCAAACGTTTAATATGGACGAGACTGGACTTGTGTGGATAAAACTGTTCAGAAAAAGGATGGAGGTATGTTACCTCGTACCGTAGTGTAGGATTGCAGACAGGGCGTCCATAGTTTCAGACATTACTTTAGGGTTTGTAAATTCAAGGTGTAAAAGAATGCA